GAGAGAGAGAGAGAGAGAGAGAGAGAGAGAGAGAGAGAGAGAGAGAGAGAGAGAGAGTGTGTGTGCGTGTGTGTGTGTAGTTAGTAATGAGAGACAATTACAATGCACATAATGCATGAGTGCTTCTCAGTGGTTAGTTGAGTTGTCAACACGTATAAAAAGAAGCTGAACACTCAGTTTTAATGCGTTAGGATCTCGGCTTCATGCTGCTCCAACAGCTGACGAACTTTATTTAACCCATCTGTGAGTTCAACAGAAAACACACAACTCTTTTCTGACCGTGGGTTCCTCCAAGCCGCTCTCAACTCATTTTTCTGGTTGAGGAGGAAAGCTGAACGTGGCGCGGAGCCAGGACGAAGGGGGGTCCTGTGGGCGTTCGTGAACTCACAGAGCGTCACCAGCGTTGGTGGAAGCATTTTCAGCCCACAGAGAGAGTTAGATATACAAACATCCACAGAAAACACAGCCCCAGATATACAGATGTGTCCGCCGACAGATGGGACAAAGCACAGTTTGACCGCAGGACATGGGCAGAGGACAGAGGACAGAAGGCAGAGGACAGAGGACAGAGGACAGAGGAGGAGGAAATCAGGAAGACAGGAGAGAGGAGAGAGCGCCTGGAGGAAGGTTTTCAGCTCATGGATTCAAACAAACAGCAGATTAGGAACAATGAAGGAAGAAAAGCTGAAGTTTGAAAGCATCTGGTTTGGACGAACACAGACACTCTCCCCGTTTATAACATGTTTATTAATGAAATAACCCAGCCACAACATTATGACCACTGAGAGGTGGGCCCAGATCTCAGCTTATCTGAACATGTGATGGATGACCGGGACAACAAATAAAGCTATAGTTCAGGTTTTGGTTTTGTTTTTTGAAGTGGGGTTCTGCGGAAAAGTTATGAACACTCACTATCTTACCTGTTGCAGATAGCTTTTTTGGGGGAAAAGCGGTTTCATATATCACAAGCAAAATTTTATTTTGAACAGGGCCAAAAACAAAGTGGATTGCTACAGTTTTAAGAAGTTGGATCTAAAATATTTTGAAGCATTTGATGCATTATTTTATTATGAGAGACAATGTCTGTTTTGTCTCACGGTTATTCTAATTTGGGAAAATGACCCAAACTAAGGCTGTACAGTGCAACATATAAGTGGCATATGCTATAAATAATAGCTCCAACTACTTTCCCTTTCAGGAGGATTAACCCTTTAGGGCCCAGATTAGAAACAGGCATTAAAATGTGGAAACTAAATTATTTTCACAGGGACTGAGAGAAAAAGGATGAGACTTGGGTGGTCATAATGTTATGGCTGATTTGTCTCTCTTTTTTATTCTTCAGTAAAATCTCCTAAAACATTACAACTTCAAATACTAAATGTTTCAACTTTATCATTTCAGTTTTATTTAAAACTGCGTTAGTCCAACCCTGAAGAAAACGTATAAAAACAAAATAAAACAAACAAAAAAAAGGAATAATTATTGTTTGTGTAGATTTTACCTTGAGCACAATCTTGTTGTCGTTAGTTGGGGTGCGTCCCACCCATAGAGCAAACTTACAGGGGTCTCCTTCAACGTGCTCCGTGACCCCCAACTCTGACGTCTGAGGGGAAAGAACAGGAGACGGCTGAGATGACGAGGAAACATTAACCCAAGTTTAAACATTGACTCATAAAAACTTCAAACAGCTGTTCAGTCGTAGTTAATATAGTTATTTTGGTCACAGCAATTTTATTCATTGTTGCTGTGTTGATGTGTGAAACTTGATTGTGCGTCCTTCCTGTGTGCTTTTATTTGTCGTTCTGCTGCTGATGCTGCAAATAAGAACGTTTCTGTTACAGAGAGAAGCTTTGTGTGTAGGATCCATCAGGTACTTACAAACAGTTTGCTCTTGTAGATGTATTTGCTCCGGCCGTTTGAGTCCTTCACCTCCTTGCTGAAGACCAGAGACATCTCAAAGAGGAAGAGGTGGCGCTCCCGACCCTTACGGATCAAAGTCTTTGGATCCCACACCTGGAACGAGTCCTGGAGGATGAGCTCGCCCTGCGACTCCAGGTTTTCGTCAAATCCTTGGAGGAAGTAGAGATTGAGATTAAAAATACGTTTTAAGATCTAAAAACCTAAAAAAAAGGATGGATAAACCGCTCACCCTCCAGCATGGAGAGGTGCATGGCATCGTTGGCTTTCTTGGGAACGCTGAGCATCACCTCCAGGCCATCTTTGATCTCTCCTTTACCTTCTTCACAGCACGTCAACAGCTCCTACACACACACACACACACACACACACACACACACACAC